AAGCCTATCGTTACTCAGTTGCTCTTTCTTTGGCAAATGGTCGAATGAGCTCCACTCTTTAGTTCCGCCAGTTCAGACCTTTACATCTAGGACTCACCCTGCTACTTCCACAGAGTCGAATCATCAACATTTCTCCCGTATTCCATTTGTACTCCGGCAGCTTTTTTCTCTCTCGCGAAAACCGCTACTTTGTGGAAGATACTCCTACGCAGATGCTTCCCTAAACGTTACAATCTTAAACTCCTCAAGTTAAGGATCAATTGATATCTGTTCTCGTCTTCACTTCCTTCTACTTTCTCTTAGCGTCCTGGGCATGATTTATTATAAACTACATCTGGCAACAAGGCCCTGATTCAGAGAGGTAGCACCTGTTAGGGTCCCAGCTATGGAAAAATAGTGAACCCTCACATTAGGGTCAAAACAAGAAAATACATTAGAAAAAATTACCAGCAATGCATTGTACCATTTTTCATTGTAAAAAGAATACCAGCAATACATTTTTGGAAAAAAATCACAAGTTCACAAGAAAATAACATTTCGGCGTTAAATGACCGATATATGCCGTTAAAAAAAAAACAAACAAACCTAAAAACTTCTCCCATGTTCATATCACACAGCAACCCGCTACCATAAGTGCCTCTTCCGCCTTGTAGTGGGTGAAATTTAGTATATATTTAAGGGGAAAAACACATTGATTCTATGTAGTCTTCGAAAAGTTTTCGCCACCATTTTATAAATGAAAAGTTTACATTAATTTTTCAACAATGGCCAACAGTTGCACTGTTCTGTAAATTTTCATCCTGTCTTATTTATTATTTGGATTGTCTAGGCTAAGCGTAAATCTTATCAATCATTTCTGCAAACTGTCTGTCTACACTTGTGAGCCATTATTCTGTTTTGTTTCTCATCGCTTGTATATCTTGATGATCGCCTTGAGTAAAAGAAGGATTTTCCGGTCGTCAGCGGATGACAAGAGCCTTTTCAGCTTCTGAGAAACGTTGATCTTAATCGTCCTAGTGGTGTCTGATCGTTTTTTTTTACGTCTTAATGAAAAGGTGCGAATATAAAAAAAAAAAAGAAAACAAAAAGAAGCCAAATCATGGGTATGGAAACAGTAAAGATATACCTCAGCGTTAGTATTACTTGATAACTAAATTCGCTGTTACAGAACAATATAAATAAACAGATGAACATCACGACCAATCACTTTTCGTGCATCGTAGCTCGAGGGGTACCCACAGATGTTGTTTCTGTGTCGTTCACCTTGTTGCGGGGTTGCTTATGATCTGGGTAATAATATGTCCCCTGGAATAGTCACCTCGCAACAATTATTGCGAATTTGTTGTAGGTCCAAGTAAAAATGAGTAACATAAAACAATATAAAGCAATCAACTACACTATTTACATTATTCGGACTATTGTCCTCATCTTCGTCGCCATATTTATTACAACGTTTCGGCCGTTGTACGCTCCGGCCTTCTTCAGGTGGTTGGAATGTCGAACTTAACCCTTTATTTCGCTCACTGGGGTAGACTGTTCTAGTTCCACGTGCCATGTTTAATGGATGTCAGTTATCCGTTATTTCCTGTTAATTTCCCTGTGAAAGTTCTCCACTGCCTTAACCGGGTATTGAACTCATACTCTTTGGGTCCTGTCACTGGATCTAACTAACGCCTTTATCCACTGTGCCATATATCCTAAAGGTGTGAGTTCAATACCCAGTTAAGGTAGTGGAGAACTTGGATAGTGGAATTAACAAGCGATAACTGACAACTGACATCCATTAAACATGGCACGTGGAACTAGAACAGTTGTCATGAAGTGGAAATACCCCAGTGAGCGAAATAAAGGGTTCAGTTCGATATTCCAACCACCTGACGAAGGCCGGAGCGTACAACGGCCGAAACGTTGTAATATGGCGACGAAGACGAGGACAATGGTTCGAATAATGTAAACAGTGTACATAATACCTCATCTAGATATAGACAGCAATCAACTACTTTCATGTATTGACAAAAAAGAATTACAATTACAATAAAAGAAGAAAACTTTTTGTTGATTTCAATTCTCGCTCCAATAAAATAGACCGCTTCTCGGTTTCACCCGATCTGTCTTGTCTTGAAGCCAGCACGCTACGTTCGCTTGTTCGAACGCGCTATTGTGTATCGACGCCAATTCTTAGTTTGTGAACTTTTTGCCATATTAATGTTGCTTATGTTAATTTGCCTTGCATGTATTGTTTGTTTTATATTATTTTTCCTGTTCTTTTACTTGTTATTGCAAACTTAAAAAGCTAAAGGTTGATTGCTTTGCTCTGAAATTCTCTTCCAACTCAACTCTTAACTCTTTTGGAATACCCACAATAAATTTCTTACTTAGAATTGAGGCCCTACTGATTGATAAGCGCATAATCCCGTCACCCAGACATCAGTTCTAAATAAGACTGATGATGTTCTTATTAATCGAAACGTTTACAGCAGATTAAAAGTTTAAACATCCAATTGGCTTTCATATATTCCATCTTATATACTTATATGAATGTATCGATTACTATGCTCGTGAGAAAACTGTAAAATAGGATATTTTAATAATATACAGGGTATTTACGAGGGGTGCTGAAATGTTCTTGTCCCGATCCATTTCATAAAATCTGGTGAAATGACTAAACGTCGGCATTTTTTAAATCCCTACTTGGTTGGGCTTAGAGCTTTTCAGTACCTCTTCGTGTTAAAAAATTCAAAGCTAAATTTTACATCTGTTAATAGTACAATTTGATTGGATCGAACTTTATTTTAAATTTGAGGAAACAAAATCATTTCCGTGCAGTAATTTTCGTTTTAAACAAAATCGATATTTATTGAACTTAGTCAACTTTGATGCAAGATGACATTTATGAAGCACCCAATGGGGAACAAATACACAGCAAAGTTAAATTCCAGAATGCTTACCGTTATCTTCTTACAGGTGACTCTGAATTATCATAATGCGATCAATATAATGACAACAATATGTTATTGTCTCAACACTGTATAAAAAACAATGACTTGCGAAATATAAACGCTATTTTCGCTACCGTGTCTAGTTCTCTTCTCTTCAAAGAATGCAGATTTTATAACATCATCATGTCAGTATATTTTATTATTTTAGTCTACTAGCGAATTGTTCCAAAATAAGAAAAAGAGTTCTAAGATTACGAACAGATTTCGTAAACTTATATTATCTTCATGGCGTTCTTTACTTTAAGCCAAATCATGGTGCAAGTGAAAGACAGAACTCATATTGTAGTTTCGGTTTGCGTTAGTTCGCTGTAGCCGGCTTAAAAATTCAAAGAAAAATAAAGATTAAAAGCATAATTAAATTGTCTGAAAAAGATATGCCATTTAAGTGGAGTTAATCACTAGAATTTAGGGATTTCCTTTTTTTTTAACAGTGGGGTTCCCTCTGTAGAAGGCCCGGGAGCCACTCGATGTTAATTGTTACAGTTTAAGAAGTACAGTTTATGCGGATATGTGGGGGGATAAGGGCTAACCCTAGACATGAACAGGTTAAGATTGTAGTGATTGGGAAAATAGTCTCTTGAGAGTCGGTTCCACACAGCAGTGGTTCGCGGGAAGAAGCTGTTCGAGTGGAACTTACTTCTCACGAATAGAATATGGAGGGTGGTTTGCTACAATGTAAGTGGCATGGCAGGTCCTAGCTGTGAAGGTCAGAACTAGTGGAACCAAGGAATGCTGTTCGTCTGAGCATTTTCCATGGAAGTAGCGATAGTGGGAGGCTTTCGACGTTTCGTCTGTAAGAGAGGGATTGTAGGGTGGAAAATAATTTGTCACCCACACGGAATCGGAGACGCTTTTGAAGTCTGTCTAGACTGGAAAGTGAGGACTAGGCAGCTCCTGCCCAAATGATGACAGCAGTGCTCCATTTTAGGCCTGATCTGGCTCTTGTAAAGGTAGAGTATAGCACGAGGTGTCACGTACTTACTGTCGCTGTTCAGGGAACCGACTATTTTTCCTGCATCTTTAGCGATGAATCGTATGTATGAATTCCACACGAGGACGGGTTGTTTCTGAGGCCCAATAGTCACTCAAGACCCGGGGCTTCCCCGAGGGAACATCCATTCATCGTGACTGGTGGTAATTCAGGCTCTGATCGACGATGATGGAATGTCACTTTCATGGTATTGAATGTAACCAACCATTTCCCCCCCCAATGAACTGCTAGAGTTAGGTCAGAGGTGAGATCAGCTGCCAGTCTGTGGTCACCTAGAGTTTTTGGAGGTGCAGCCATATACCGTTGTGTCATCAGCATAGATATTCACAAATGATCAGAGTACACTCTTATGCAGATCATGCAGTAACAAGAAGATTGGCCCGAGAAGCGACCACTGGGGGACGCCTGCGTTGATTACTAGGACCCCCGGACGACTGGTCGTTAACAACTATCTTTATCACTGAGAAGACTCTTCCAGTGATTCCATAGCTAGAGATCTTGCGAAGCATTCTTTTGGATGACGAAACAATTTTCTTTTTAAATTGGATTTTCAACAACATAAAGATAATCGAGTCTTTAAAAACAGTCAATGACGTGTTGCTCAGCTAAGACATTCTTGAAAGAAAATTCTCTGATTTTGCATATCGAAGAATTGTCTCTGGTTGCGAGAGCTCAGCCAAAAAAAACAAAAAACAAAGGAGTAAAAAAGGAAAAAAGGCTGTACTATAAACGATAGGCAAATAAGAAAACAAAGCAAGCAAGAATAAAGAAATTGCAGCGAAAATCGGAAACTCTTTGGTTACTAACATTCATTATTTATCGTGACGTTTTAATTGATGGAAATACAAATATTTGTTTTTGTGCAAACACTGTTGCATACCTTCTACTTTGGCAAGCGGTTGGCTCGAGTTTGCTTCCAATAAAACTTAATACGAACGGCAAACACGAACTATACCACCTGATATATATATATATATATATAGCTTCCCTTACTTTCTTTTCCTTTTCTGTTGTTCTCTCTACCTAAATTCCTTTACTTCTTTTTCTTCCCACCCCTAAATTCTCCCTTCATTTATTCTCTTACCCTCTCCTTTTCTGTACTTATACTTCTCTCTATCCTGTTTTTTATTATCTTTTTAAACATTATTTTTTCTTTTTTTTTTTTCCGATCCTTCATGTTTTTGATCTCTGTCATTCCTTCGGCTTTTTATTTCTTTCTTTATTTTCTCGTCTTTCATTCACTCTTTATCTTATGTTTCATCCTTTTTCTTTTCTTTCTCATTTTCCATTTTTCTTTTTTCTTTTCTTACATTCTTTTTTTATTGCCAAATCTCGCTCTATGCGTGTCTTTCATTTCTGTTTATCTTGTTTTTCATTCACTCTCTTTGTTTTTCATGTTCGCTCTTTTCTTCTCTTTCAGCCTGATCTTTCATTCTCTTTTCTTGTCTCAGCCTGATCTTTCATTCTCTTTTTTTTCTTCTCTTTTCAGCCTGATCTTTCATTCTTTTTTTCTTGTCTCAGCCTGATCTTTCATTCTTTTTTCTTCTCTTTCAGCCTGATCTTTCATTCTCTTTTCTTGTCTCAGCCTGATCTTTCATTCTTTTTTTCTCTTTCAGCCTGATCTTTCATTTTCATTCTCTTTCAGCCTGATTTTCATTTCTCTTTTCAGCCTGATCTTTCATTCTCTTTTCTTGTCTCAGCCTGATCTTTCATTCTCTTTTTCTTCTCTTTCAGCCTGATCTTTCATTCTCTTTTCTTTCTCTTTCAGCCTGATCTTTTCATTCTCTTTTTTCTTGTCTCTTTCAGCCTGATCTTTCATTCTCTTTTCTTGTCTCAGCCTGATCTTTTCATTTTCTTTTTTGATCTCTTTTCAGCCTGATCTTTTCATTCTCTTTTTTCTTGTCTCAGCCTGATCTTTCATTCTCTTTTCTTGTCTCAGCCTGATCTTTCATTCTCTTTTCTTCTCTTTTCAGCCTGATCTTTCATTCTCTTTTCTTCTGATCTTTCAGCCTGATCTTTTCATTCTCTTTTTTTCTCTTTCAGCCTGATCTTTCATTCTCTTTTCTTGTCTCAGCCTGATCTTTCATTCTCTTTTCTTCTCTTTTCAGCCTGATCTTTCATTCTCTTTTCTTGTCTCAGCCTGATCTTATATTCTCTTTTCTTCTCTTTCAGCCTGATCTTTCATTCTCTTTTCTTGTCTCAGCCTGATCTTTCATTCTCTTTTCTTCTCTTTCAGCCTGATCTTTCATTCTTTTTTTCTTCTCTTTCAGCCTTTGATCTTTCATTCTCTCTTTTCTTGTCTCAGCCTGATCTTTTCATTCTCTTTTCTTTTCTTTTCAGCCTGATCTTTCATTCTCTTTTCTTGTCTCAGCCTGATCTTTCATTCTCTTTTCTTCTCTTTCAGCCTGATCTTTCATTCTCTTTTCTTGTCTCAGCCTGATCTTTCATTCTCTTTTCTTCTCTTTCAGCCTGATCTTTCATTCTCTTTTCTTGTCTCAGCCTGATCTTTCATTCTCTTTTCTTCTCTTTCAGCCTGATCTTTCATTCTCTTTTCTTGTCTCAGCCTGATCTTTCATTCTCTTTTCTTCTCTTTCAGCCTGATCTTTCATTCTCTTTTCTTCTCTTTCAGCCTGATCTTTCATTCTCTTTTCTTGTCTCAGCCTGATCTTTCATTCTCTTTTCTTCTCTTTCAGCCTGATCTTTCATTCTCTTTTCTTCTCTTTCAGCCTGATCTTTTTCATTCTCTTTTCTTGTCTCAGCCTGATTTTTCATTTCTCTTTTTCTTCTTTTCTTGTTCAGCCTGATCTTTCATTTCTTTTTTCTTGTCTCAGCCTGATCTTTCATTCTCTTTTCTTGTCTCAGCCTGATCTTTCATTCTCTTTTCTTCTCTTTCAGCCTGATCTTTCATTCTCTTTTCTTGTCTCAGCCTGATCTTTCATTCTCTTTCTTTCTTTCTCATCTTTCATCCTTTCTCTTTTTTGTCTTTCATTTTCCCTTTTTCATGTTTTCTCAGTCTCGACCTCTCTCTTTTCTTGCTTTTTATTCTCAATCTTTTCTTGCCTTTCGTTCATTCCTTCCTTCGCTTTCCTGTCTGTGTTTCTTTCTCTTTCTCTGTCTTTCCTTGCTACCTTCTCTTTTATCTTTCCTTCTGTATCTTTCTTCCTTTTTACATGTTTTTCATTCTCTTTCTTTACTTGTCTTTCTTTCCTACTTTCTGTTTTATTCTTTCTCGTCCCATGTCTTTTATTCTTTCTCTTTTCCTACCTTTCCTTCCTTCCTTCACTTTTATCTTTCCTACTCTTTTCTTGTCTGTTTTTCTTTCTCTTTCCCTGTTTTTCATTCTTTCTCTTTCCCCGTTTTAATTCATTCTTTTTGCTTGTCTTTCCTTTCTTCCTTCTTTCCTTCCTTCTCTTTTCTTGCCTATTTTCTTCTCTTTCATTCTCTCTCCATCACTTCTCTTGTTCCTTCTTTCTTCTCTTTCTTTTTGTCGTTCATTATTTTTCTCTTATCGTTCATTCTTTCTCGCCCTCCTTGTTTTTCACTCTCTCACATTTCTTTATTGTCTTTCTCTCTTTTTATTGTTATTGTTTATCTCTCTCTTTTCTTGTCTCCCATTCTCTCTCTCTCTCTCTCTCTCTCATCCTTTGTTTTTCTAATGATATTGCTATGCGTAGCTTTAAGTGTACAAACGTTGGATATCCACTCTCTTTCTATCGATACTTTTCATAATCTTCCACACACACATACATACATACATACCTATATATATATATATATATATATATATATATATATATATGCTGCCACTACTATTCTGTTGTAATGGAATGGGTGGAGTTATTTCTAAGCATAAACAAATCTGGATTTTGTCTTTGTTTTTAAAAACAATCTGATTTTCAAGTATTTTGTACGAACGTCCATCATGTGTTTACATTGATTTTTAACCAATCAGAAAACGCATAAATTCTGCTAATCGTAATGGACAAAGTCTTTAGAATCATCGTAATGCCCTTAATCCATAATAAGAATCGATTATTGAGTTATTTATTTAATGTTTTACTAATATATAAATGTCCTGTTGCTACTACAGGCATGGCCCTCGAGACCTTTGAGCTTAATTGATTGGAGGTGTTAATATATATACATTTGTTTTTCTTAGGAAGATGAGCTACAGTAAATATCTTGTTCTGTGCTACAGATTTGCTTGTCAAACCTTTAAAAGTTGAGAATCTCACTCAGGGAATGATGCACTGTGTATCTCACAGTAATGTGGGAACATAATGGCCGAGTCTTGAAATACAGGATGGTCCGAAAGTTTTGTTACCCCTACCAAAAAAAAAAAAAAAAAAAAATTTAATGAAAACAATAGAAGAACCAGTAATACAGTAATACAAAGCACATGTACTGGATTCAGTTTATCCACTTTTATTGATACCGTCACACATCGAGAAGGTCTGTATGAACACCATTTTCGTATAGGAGCTCGTGTCAACCATCTGAAATAGAAAATTATATTATTTAGAGGTGGCAAGATTTTCTATTTATTTTCTTTTACCGACTTGAATATTGGAGAAAAATATTTGCATAAGGTTTCTCAAATATTCAGGCCGGTAGACGAAAATAGAAAAAAAATCTACTGTTTAATAAATAAACAGAGCGTTTACTCCAATACGAGTATCCGCTAAAAATAGTGTTTAAGTAATAAAAATAAAGTTTTCATAGAAAGAATTGTTTTTAATTTAGATTTTTTTTTATTACTACTGTTGTTTTCTTAATCACCAAAGCTTTTTTTTTTTTTTTAAATTAGAACGGGTATTATTGATAACGTTAATTCACTACATGAATTAAACAGACAATTCATGAATTGGTTCCTTTTTGTATATTTTTACTCTCTATTGCTTGTCATGTCCTAAACATTTCTCTCTTTTTTAAAATTCTTTTTCTTCTACCCATTTTAATTTAAGATTTAGGTTTTGGTTTCGAAACAGTAACTTTCTGTGTCGCGATGAATACATATTTTTAAATAATAATTATATATATATATGCGTGTTTGTGTTTACAGTACATACAATCGCTGCTAATTGCCTAAGTGACCCGACTCGTAGAAATTGAAGCAATGAATTCCTGCAGAACTTCTATCATCTACCGACATCCAGCAAAGATTCCTATCTTAACACTTTTAGGGACACTTTGGTCGGCTCCAGTCTGGTCGGCTCCAGTCTGCTTGAGCCGAAAATCGCTGCACCTTATACACTGAACGATTCGTGTCGGGTAATTATAATTGTAATCTCCACATCTGTGATATATGTTGCGCAACATTCTTGCACAGCAGGAGGTCCGAAATCTCAGAGGTAACCAGTTCGAATCCAAAGCAGCGACGAGAAGCAAAACTATAACGTTTAACGTTTGGCGCCGGCCAAAGTTGTTGGGAATCAAGACTAAAGTGGAACTAACACCCGTAAGAAAATGCAGTTCTACTCCTCTTTTCTGCCAATCGCTCTCTGTCCGCCCACACAAAATAAATGTCCTTTTGTCCTTCTCTATCCTTATGAAACTGTTCTTAGAAAACAGACGATAAGCTACAGGGAATAAACGCGTGTATAAAAACTAAGACAGGTTGATTTTCCCTTTTTGTTTTTTTAGAAAATCAAGATTGCACTTTATGTGAAAGCTGCTGTTTGATATGAAAGATTCTGCCACCAAAAATTCAATGCTTAGTTTTTACAGATTTTTGAGCATTTAGTTTTAAAGATCATCCAAAAAGTGTACAGAAATACTTAATTTCTGCAGGTTCTTACTTACAAACGTACTTCAAAAATTTACTAAGAATAAATACAAATCCAAAGTTTATATCTTTTGTCTTAGAGACATTGAATGGAAAATATATTCAAACTCTAATTATGAATCACCACAAGCAAAATATGTAATGTTTTTACTGTATTCGATAAGAAAGACATGTGTAAAAAATATTGTAAAATTTTACAAAAATGTCTTCTCATTAAATAAGATTTGTAAGATCATAATTCATAAAAAAATAGATAAAATTGTATGTAACACCATAATACTGCTAGAGACAAATTATAAGACAGAATGTTTTGAATTTGTGTTGTTTATTGAAAATCACACTAAAATGACTGCATCATAACATAGCCAAAGTGTTCAGTATAATTTCTTTTCGAAGGAAATGAAGGTCTTTATTTGATGACACAATTATTTAGTAATAATGTCCTTCTCCCATGTATCTTGGTCATATAAAATTTGTAAAGATTTAGAAAATTATAAATTTTATAAGGCTATGTTATAAATCTTTCACTGATCACCGGAATTGCAATGCTACGATTTAAAAACTAAACTTAAACATTGTTGTAACCTAGAAAATGTTACTGAATGAGGAATAACCAAAACGGAGGTTGGGAATGAAATGGTAATCTTTATAACATCAACAAAATACAATCCTCGCCAGCGGCGTGAAGCAGGTAAACCACTGCTAGTGGTGTACTACTTAGAATATTACCCCCACTTACAATAGTGTCCAACATATTTATGAGGATTAGGACATTAGTGTTCATAGGTACGGTATATAACAAGCATCAAACTGGTTTCCTAAAAAATGATAGCGATTTGGAAAAAAATATTTTGTATGATTATTTTGTCATGTCAAATCCAAACTTTCAAATTTAGTTCAATAGCATGGTTCCAAGATCGACCTGCCCTAGTAAATATGTGGAAAATCATGTAGTTAATAATGTTATTTCTTTTTATATATGTAGAACACAGATGTATTTAATTCTAATGTCCTACAGGACAATAGCCTAGTGGCTTAAATGGTTGATTCGTGAAGTTGGCGATATTGTAATTGTGAGTTCAATCTCTGGTCCAGGTAGTAGAGACTTCGATTCAGTGGAAAGCAGAGCGAAGAAAACTTAACAATCTCTCTATATAAATGACAATTTCTGTCTGTCTGGATAAAGTTGCCACTTAAATCTGTGAACCAATATTGATGAAACTTTGCATACATGTTAAACTAACATCCAGTTTGTTACTAGGCTAATTGGTCTTTTATAAAAATCTATAATGTGACTGCTAGGGCGCCTAGATCGCAGCTCTCCGCCAGTTGTTACGCGAAACCCAATTTACATGTTTATGACTGTGTTCAAGCATGGGAGATAACTGGTCTCGCAAACTTTTTAGAAATTGTGACACACATGTTATGAAATAATAACTGTTATAAAGCTTAAAATTCCAAACATATGAATCTTTGTTCGATTTAAAAAACTTAGGGGACAACATTTGAATGAATCTCCGGTTATTTTCTAAATTAAATCTTTATTTAACACATTAATTCAGTATAATCTTTCTTTGAATATGAAATTAATGGTGTGTTTACGTTGTAAAAATATAATTTGAGATGATTTCTTTAAAAATAAATATAATTACACTTTTTTAGGGTTTCTTCTTCTTGCCGCCGAGTGTTACGCACACGGCTCACAGTGTTTAGCGTTTAATCTAATATGAAATTAATTCGTTTCAAATTTAACCATGTGCAACATTAACTTCCACATTTTCAAATTTGTTAAATATAAAGAAATCAGCTCGATCCATTCGGTCATTTAATCGTAAAATAAAATTTAAATTGAGCTTATTTCCCAAAGCTCATATTTCAACCTACCCTTAGAAAGGTATATCATGGTTGTTGTTGTTGCTGTCTGTGGAATAACAATCAGTTTGAAGAACACTTTCGTGCTATATACAGTCTGTGTAAAAAAAAAAAAAAAAAAAAAAAAATCTAGCTGTGGAAATAGACATCCTTCATAAAAAATCCAAACGTCCTTAATCGATATGAGTCACATCCCCTTCCCCGTTATGTTTTACTTTTAATTACGGTTTAATTAATACTGGTAAGTTCTAGTACAAAATTTGTTTTTCTATTATTTGAGGACTCATTATAAGAAATGAAACTGACGTGAAGACTTCGTTCATTTATTCTTGGATCATAATATTATAGAGAAGATATGTAGCACTAGGAAATGAGTTACTAGAAAAATGTGTCATTGGTTGCATCTGCCGTTGCTAAAACTATTTACCCAAATATTTATATTAAAAATTAGAAAGTAATTGGTAGAATGTAATTTAAGGACACATCGCACAGTGGATAAAGGCGTTAGTTAGATCCATTGTCAGGACTCAAAGAGTGTTAGTTCAATACCCGGTTAAGGCAGTGAAGAACTTGCAGAGGGGAATTAACAGAAGATAACTGATACCTGACATCCATTAAACATGGCACGTGGAACTAGAACAGTCTACCCCAGTGAGCGAAATAAAGGGTTCAGTTTGACATTCCAACCACCTGAAGAAGGCCAGAGTGTACAGCGTCCAAAACGTTGTAATAAATATATCGACAAAGATGAGGACAATAGTTCGAATAATGTAAATAGGGTACATAATGCCTCATCTCAGAAATATAGACAGATATTGTAATTTAAGTCTTTATATTCTTAACAGAACGTATTTTAAGGCGTAAAATTCTGCCTCTTCACTGACAAGTCCAGTACATCCTGTCACAAACGGCTGTGTCTATTCATGAATCCTGGAGCATACCGTGTCTTAGTGGTACCTAACACAAGACTGACCTATGTGTCAAGAACGTGCGCCGGTGATTGGGCATTGAGAGTTATATGAAAGACCAAGCGCAGTGCATACTAATGGAGTAAAAGGAAAGAAAGTTAACCCTACAAATATAACAATTGTCTTTTTTATGTTTTATTTTGTCTTAGCTATTTCAGTCCAAGCAAAACGATGACGTCACTAGAACACAAAGGGTTACAGGGAGTGAAAGTGAATGAGAAGACTTTATTGGGGACGTTTGAGGAAAGGACACAAGTTTCAAGAAGACAGAAGATGGCGATTGACGTTGCATTCAAATTCCATAGGTGAGAAGTGCGAGAAAAGAAACAGAGTAGAAGTGGTGGTTGCATTTAGCTAGTTCAAAGCAAAACGGTGAGACCTAGTTGGCAATCCAGTTGCATGCCTAAATTCGTGCAATCGGGTCACCAAGAAAAAAAAAACCTCATCAGAACTGTTGCCATAAAAATATTTGCAGAAAAGGCAGAGGGAAATAATGTCACGTTGGTGAGGAAGTGATGGAAGTTGAGAAGCCTGGTCAGGACTGATTACATTACATCCCCTTCTTTGAATAATAACTCGTAATGATATTCAGGTTTACATCACGATATTTAGACTGTCAATCTCCGATTGTCACCAGCTAACAAGTTTTTATCTAAGGTAGGGAAGATTAATCTGCCCTAGTTTAGCCAGTCAACTTAATTTTCTTTTTTTTTTCTTTTTTTTTTTAAACAAATGTTCACTCAATATAAAACACGAGAGTCACCCAAGGCATTAATCAATCGGGCGTGGGATATGAAGTTATGATGGGGGTGGGGGTAGTAAGAATTAAAAATAAGGGTCAATCGTTATGTATCCTCCTTGATTTAAATAGGTCAAGATTTTAGTATTCAGGGAAGGACCCACGAGGGTGTCTCTTTCATAACGTACCAGTTCTTAGGGAAAAGGCTGTTTAAGATGAGCTTTCTCCTTACAGTTGGAATACGGAGAAAATGTGGACGATTCGACATCGTGGAAGTAGCATGACGAATCCTCGGTCTGAACTGATTGAGCAAAAGAGTGGAGCTTATCTGAACATTTGCCATGGAAATAGCGATAGGCTTGAGATGTTCCAACTGTGAGAAAGAAGCTGCAGTACCCTAAAAGAACGCGTAAACGATTTCTCGGGTGAAAAGTGATTACGAAATAAAACTTGGGCAAACACGGACAAACGCAATAAAACGTAGTACCAAAAGGACAGTTTTTCCCATGACACCTTCACTCTGCGGCGATGTTTATTGTTTTAAAAAGTGATGATTAGGATTGGAACAAAACCTGAAGATTTCTCTTAATAATAATTTAAAAATAATTCAATAAACGATGTTATTTTATTTATGTTAACTGGATTTTTGGCGATTGCCTAAGTCAGTTTCCATCGTTCCATATTGTGCATCTGAAGATTATGTTTTTATTGCAGTTTCCATTGATTCTCGGCCTTTTGGCTGGGATCAAAGTGTAGTATCTTCCCTCGGGAGGATAAACTACATTTCATCTCTCAGTTGTATCGCTGTCTTCGGACAGAACGCAACTGAAAATATTATTGAGAGGTGCCAGGTCTCGGAAAACTGCTGCTCACGGTAGTACTTCCCTGATTGCACTAAAGTGGGGGA